AAGACTTCTGTGATGCTTCAAGGGATAGTATGGTCGACAATGGGATCCAAGTGTCAGTAGGGTTGTAAACAAGAACCAGAAGATTCGACGAATGAGATCGAAATCCCCCAACCTTGGGAAACTAATGCAGGTGCGGGAAAATGGCAGATGTGGGTGCAGGAACCAATCGACTGTACTGGTTGGCATAAGGCTCCGGTCCAGGCCCCAATTGGACTGGGTGGGCTATAGGGGGGCGACAATGCCGCCCTTCCCTTTTCCCACTTTCATTTTCTGTGATTTCTTTGTGGGAGCCTTCCTTTGCTATTATTTCCTTATGAGAGATTTCCTTTGTTGTTATTTCCGTATTGGAGTTTTTGTAAATGTTGTTATCTGATAATTAAGGTTTAGTTTTACAGTGTTTCGGATTTCAAATTTCTATGTGAAGTTGTTTTCCCTGTCTAGGGCTGTACCCTCCGAGATAGTGGTGTTCTGGCCGTTTCTTCCTCTGAGATGGTGTTGTATCTTTTCCAATCTCCTCTCTTCCCACTCCCCACTCCCCAACCCTCCTAGCATCCGGTTTTCCCCTCTAGGCCTCCCTACCGGGCTCTCCCAGCATCGACCGCATTTCCCCCGCCCTTTTCCCTGTTGTACAACTCTCCCTCCCACCTTCCAGCCGCCTGTTCCCCCTCTCCCCGTTGTTCAGCCTTGCTGGCCACCCCAAGTGCATCCTACCGACCACTGACAGTTGTTCTCTTTGTTGTCCGGTTCGTTTCGCTATCAACCCACACCCTTCTCCCCCATTACCTGCAGCTTCCCCGTCCGCCCCATGCTTCCAAACCCCAAATCTGCCATCCACCACCCTTTCAATCTACCCTCCAACTTCAATCTTTCGCCTTTCCTCCTTACCTTTTTGCCGACGCCACCACTGCCCTTGGATCTCCTCTTCCGGTTCCAGCTGGAGATTAGTTTGTGTTTGTATTTCTTTTCTGGTTTGTATCGTGTCGTGGTCCTATTTCTATATTAATAAAAGTTTGCTTTTGTGTTTCGCTGAGTTCCTACCTAGTTCCGCTGAGTTCCTACCTAATTCCGATATCAATATTGCAACTCTTAAAAGGAAGAAGCCTGATTTGGAGTTATTTGAGGCATTTCAAGGGATTCTTAAGCCTTTGGTTATGTCCAATAAGTTCATACTTATGAGGGGAGGTGTTCTGAATTCCAGTTTCACTGAAATGCATTGGATAAAACTGTTAAAACAGTAATTTTGGAAGTGTATAACTGGGTTAGACTTTAGAATGCAATATTGGGATCTTAAGATTTTGCTAGCAAATAAAGAAGTGAAAAGAACAATCATTTCTAGCTAAAGAATAGCAGCTCTCCCCTCATACATCTCCAAGAATAGCAGACTGAATCACTAAAGTCTACAACAGTAGTAGAATATCATGCATAAGAAAATGATGGGGGCATTTAATGCATTCTACCCTATGTAGCGCTGGCACGTCTAAAAATGTGTCATACCCGTATCAGACATCGACACTTGTCTGACAAGCCCCGACACTTCTCCGACATTACCAAATACGTATGAATTTTTTTCAAGCCCGAACATGTTCGGGACACACCTCAACACTGCATCGTACATGAGTTTAATTTGATTTTGAGAACTTGGGACATGAGAATTAGAAAATTATAAATATACGTATAGCCTTAATTTTACCTCATTGTCAAAACCACTCCATCTCTCGTCATGTTGAAGCTCTCTCTAACATTCGTCAAAATCGAGTATCACAAGTGTATCTAATATTCGTCGGAGTCGGGTATTAGTAATTCCCTTTTTGTAATTATAGAATTTTTAAAATTTTAGCAAATAAGTTGGATGAATTCTTTTGAAACATATTATATCTAATTTAAAAAATTTATTTTCATAAACATGAGATTTTATAATATAAATTAAATTTGTGAAGATAAATTTATTCTTACATAATTTGTGTAGTGATATTTTTAATAAAGAACAATGGAAAAATATATAGTTTTTATTAGTAATTAATTAAATATAAAAACATGTTCATGATGTGTCATATCTTATCTTTTTCAATTATGTTGTGTACGTGTCCTCGTGTTCTTGTACGTGCTTCATAGATTCTACTTATTTCCTATGTATTTACATATCTAACATCTAAATTTTGTTTTTTTTATGTTTATATCACCTAAAACTTTCATATCACATAAAAACACCACTATTTTAATTTTAAAAGTTGAAGTAAACCCTTTCATGCATGGAAAAAGTGATATGTATGTAAAAATTAAAATTTAGGTGTTAGATATGTAAATACATGGGAATTGAGTCATATGTATTTAAATCTTCCTAAAAAAAGTACATGGCGGCACAGTCAATCAAAAACATCTTGCATTTCATATTCAACTCACTATTGCTAAGTTTATGGAAAAGTTGATAAACCATTTACTTCACAGGCAATTGAAAAATTCAAAAAACAACAAGGCAATGAGAAGTAAACCGTAGATATTGGTATAGATTGACCCTATCCTATCGGTTTGGAATTGATGTTCTATTAACAAGCTCAACTAAATGGGACATGAAATAGTTTTTCTAAACTGAACAAAACATTCCCATCTTATACAACTATTAAACCATCCAAATTCGCTACATTCAAAATACCAAAAACACTTATGGATGAATAAAATATGTTAAACATTAAAAAATACCAAAACACACCAAAAGAAAAGTTTAAATGTTAGATATGTAAACACGTAAGTACATGTAACCAAAATTTTACAAGATCTTATGTTTCTCTTAAAATGAGGCCAAACTTAAAAATGAATAAATTACATACATACCATTGAAGTCTCATGTTTTTACCTATCTAAATCCTAAACTTTGCTTTTTAGATTTATACCACCAAAATATTGTTAAATACATGAGAACCAGGATTTTACTAGATCTTATGTTTCTCTTAAAATGAGGCCATAATGCCTTTGGAATATGGATTTACGGGATTTAGGAAAGCTAAGTGTGTGAAGGCAGGTGAGAGGAAGGAGAAAGAAGATTTCAAATGTTACCTTCTTCAATGGTTTCGGATGGGAGCATGGAAGGAGGAGAACGTTGGGAATTTTGGTGGCCTCTTCATGCCAAAATCCCGTTGCTGCTCTGTACGCCACAATCCGGTCATTGCTTTCCAGTTAGCCTTGGGTAGGAGTGGAACGGAAGGAGGAGAATGATGGAATATCATCTCTATACGTCGCAATCCTGTTATTGCTTTGCTTCTAGCCTCGGGTAGGAACGGAACTAAAGTAGGAGAACGATGGGAGTTTCACAGGTCTATGGGAGTTTCACAGGTCTATGCACGCCAAGATCCAATCATTGCTTTCTTGACTATCTTGAATTGTGGCTGTATCATGAGGGCTCGGTCACAACGGCGATGATTATGGATGAAACCCAGAGAGAGGGTAGGCAAGGGTCCTGCAGGAGAGAGGGTAGGCAAGGGTTTCCTGCAGGCGAGAGGCAATAGAAATCGCGCAATGGGAAACAAGATCAGGTTTCACAGGACTTGTTTTCACTTCAATTCTAGCAGAATTACTTCACACGTAAACGTAGCTTCACGCTAAACTTTAAATGCCCTTTAAATTCACTACACTTTTATTTTACAGCATACCAAACATTAAATATTTGAAAGTTCATGTAATTACTTTACAACACACCACTAAAACTGTAAACTAAACGTTCCTTAATGTTTCATCTATGACATAATCTTCACATTGAAGAATAAATTAATTTCTATCAGAAGTTCAGGTTTAGATATGATTAATGCTCTTTGATTTCATATTCAAATTCTTACTTTTGCAATATCAGTTTAGGTGCTTGAACATATTGTAATGCAGGTTTAGGTTCAAATTTAATAAAATATGACACCGATTTATTTTGTAATTATAAATCTTTATTAACATCTAACTTATTGTCAAATAATATTCATGAACAATAGTATGATCAAATAAACCATAAATGATTTTTATCTTATTAAACGTTTTGACAGTTTTTAAATGGGATTGTAATTGATTTTTCTTAAGAATATAAAATGCACGTGCAATATTCCTAACATGTGATTGTACATTGTAATATTCCACTACCTCGAATGTTTTGTATAAAGCTTCATCTAATATGCTTGGAGAATAATAGCTTAATCATTTATAATTTTGTATAGTTTAGAATTAATTTGGAGAATTGTAATACATTGGGAATAAATTGGTCATATATGAATAGTTGGGAGACTGTTGTGGAGTTCAACCATTTGGACACTTGTTCGTCCATTGTAGATGAAGATTGAAAATACACAAAATTTTGGCAAAATATTTTTTAACATTTACCCATTGATCTCACATTGAAATTATGGATCATAAAAGAACCACACGTTTGATTGAAACTGATGCAACAATCAGAGACTAGGTTGCTCCAAATATAATCGAATTCAATCACATAATCCATTTGGTGACTAAAAATTAGATACTAAGATTAAGAAAGAAAAGAGATTAAATATAAAATCATGCGCTTAGGCCAATCTAAAGATACAACACCCCCATAGTTTTGAAAGGCTAGAAAACTGTCCATCAACCGAATATCGATTGATCAAAATTGAAATCATACTAATTTTTTTGAACAGCTGCTTTGTATAATTACAATGTCTCATCTCAAAAGGATAATTGCCTTGAAATCCTGCATGGATAACGTCTTCATGTTGTTATTTGATATAAAAGAAACCTGTGTGTATTTTTTTATTGTAATTTTCTTCAAATGCTTATCTCCGTAGTGCTTTTTTTTTCAACTAATGTCTTTATGTGGTTAAAATTCTTTTTGATTAATTATTTTTTTCATGTAATTGTCCTACACATTCCGTCATCCTTTATTGGAGAACATTTACTTGCATGATATATTGCATATCTACCCAAAGCCTATTTGACAATGACTTCCAGTTAATTTGCAGGCATGCTAATGTGCTTTATGGAATTGTTTGCAGGTGAGAAAGCAGTCTTGTTCCTGTTTACATGATGTTCTGCAAAGTTTCCAAGGATCGACAGTATTGTTAGCAGCAAGTGAAGGGATTACCTCTGCTCTCGAGAGATTTCTACTGCTCTGTGGATCAAATCCCCCTAATTCAGCTACAGGGGATGAGCCCAATGGAGCTAGAGAAGTTCTATTTATTTTAGATGCTTTAAAGGATTGCATTGACCTCCTTTCAGTAAAATCTACCAACATTATTCTGAAATGCTGCAAATATTTATTGGATTTGCGACAATCGAGTGTCACTAGGAGTATTATGAAGACTTTGCAGACTTTATGCTCTAGACAGGCTTCAAACTTTTCTCTGGAGTTCTTACTTGAGTTATTGTGCTCTTTGGCTCACGATATGCCTGAAAAGGAGAAATCAGCAGATGGATTAGCTTCTGTAGCACGCCTGCTAAGTTTGGGAACGGAAAGAGTATTTAATTTAAACAGGAGTATATGCATTTTGAAGCTTCCAATAATGTTTAATTCTCTTGGAGGTTAGCTTTTCATGTGATTTTTCTAGTTATCTTTTGGATGAACTATCTTTTTGACTTATTTCTTTTATTGTTAGAAATTTTGGCTGGCGAGCATGATGAAGCTATTTTTGCTGCGGCAGAGGCACTGAAGAGTTTAATATATTCTTGCATTGATGAGGAGTTGATTAAGCAGGGAATTGAACAGATAAATCTGAATCATGGAGGAGGAATAAGGAAGTCTGGTCCTACAATTATTGAAAAGATATGTGCTATTATAGAAGGTTTTCTTGATTTCAGATACAGTGCAGTTTGGAATTCGGCTTTTCAGGTCATCGCTGCTGGATTTGATCAACTAGGTATTGTTTTTCTTTGGTACTTTTTCATCCGTGTCACTCCTTATAATTAGTGTAAGCCAATTTAGTGAGAAAAATATTATGAGAAAATAGTGCAAGCAGAGATACCAATTTTTTATTGAGAAAAAGTTGGTTTTACACTGTTCTGTACATCAGAGATATTCTATCTGAGGTTCTTTATCAGTCTAATGTGGGCCCTGATACCAATTTTTTTAATTCTTTTCGGCAGGGAATTATTCAGCAGAGCTGATGGGGGGCATCGTGAAGAACCTTGCTGAAATACAAAGTCTTCCTGATGATGAATTTTCTTATAAAAAGCAGGTCTGCTTACATTGTTTCGATTCAAATGTATATAAGTGATATCTTTATCTCCGATTTTTTCTTGCTATACGGTTCTTGGTGTCACACCCTGCCTGCCTGCCTGAGCTAGAAGAAACTGGTCGAAAACCCAACAGGAGGATGTGAGCTGAAAATTAAGAAACAAATCAAATCAATTCAAACAGGGCACAATTTGATTTATCCACCAATAAATATGTTCAAAGCATCTAAATTTAAATATTCATACAAATCTATGTACTAAAATATAAAATAGATTATAATCACAGTTGAATTAATTAAATGATCCCAAACTTCATCATATCTAAATATTATGCCTGAAGTATGAGTCTAAACGCTCAACTGAGCATAGCAGGCAACTTGAAGTTTATAAGTTACTTATTGGCTAAACAACATTCAAAGGAGCTTAATATTGATTCACATATTATTGTAATAAATATGCACATTCCACGTAGGCACAAACAATAATTATCAAGAGTATTATTACCTGCATGACCATTATTATATATTTTTCAGGTACAGATTTGGAAAAATAAATTTACTACATTGTACAAAGTTAACATGCTTATGATAAATAGTATAACTACAGAGTCAATTGAATATATATATTAATTGATGCAATAACAAAGCAAGATTAAGCTATGCATCACATTCCATAATAAATTTAAAAGCAATAAAAATATACTAAAGATAGTAAGTGATACAACCCTAACAAAGAAGGGTACATTCATCCCTTACTCAGTATAGAGTCAACTACCAACAAAAACCACGTTCAGCCTAGCATTCCAATAACAATGCAAACCTTATCGCTTGAGGCATGGTTGTCCAATTTATATATATATGTATATATATATAAAATAAATCACACATTTAAGGCATTATATATCAATTGATTAAGCCACCACAAAGATCAATTTTATACAATTTTGTAATTAGTGATTTCTATGGTTTCCTTTAATTTATGCTTTAATAATTAACCCTTAAAGATCACAAATTATTAATGGTTTCCAATATAAAAGAGTATCTTTTATATGGTTTAATCAAATCCTTAGCTCCCTTTGTAAGTTTTGATTCTTATACTATCTATTAAAAATATTTATATAGGATCTGTAAATCTATATTTGTAAATTAATTTCTCTCAACAAATAAAAGGCTTCTCTTATGCTATGAAAATAGATTTCTCCAACATAGACTATCGTTAATCATAAGTTATAAAATTAATTTAGACAAATATATAATCCTCAAAATCTTTTTATGTATCTAGATTTTATTGAAGGGAAGCAAATCTCTTTAGCAGTAACCCAAATATGCGAAAATGAATCTAAGATTAATGTTGTAATGGCATAATTTAATCCCCGAAAAAAAAACAATATGCGATCACAGGTTGAAAGTTTACTTTATTAAACGTCTAACTGAGAAAATTGGGAAATATTTATCCACTTTTCTACCGAAGCCTTTGCTCCATTGGCCTCATTGTAGCTGTCGAAGCCATCCAAGGCATAAACCACTCAGCTAAGAAATCCTCTTATTTTGCTCATCAATGCTCAAGGTGCAAGTGCTGTTCATTGCTCGACTCCCAATTGAAGGAATCCTTATTCGTGGCTCTCTCTCCCCTCTCCCTTAATCTCACACTCTTTTCTCTTGCATCTGAAGCACTAGTTTGTCCCTTTCGCTCTTACATGATCTCTCACTCCTCTCTTGTGCTGTGCCCTACAACTTGTATCAGGATTAGGACATGTTGATGAGGCAGTGGGGAGGCCCAGTCGGGTTAATTGAACTGAATTGGCCCAGTCCAAGAAAGAAAAATTTTTTTTTTTTACACTTATCATGTGAAATAAATAACACGGGCCTTGACACCTAGGAAAGTTTATAAGCTTGGTAATTGTGACTGGAATTTTTCAAGAAACTTACTGGAGTACGCCTCTTTAATTTTTTCTTCCAGTTTTCTTTTATCAGAGCTATTTGTAGATCTGTTGGTTTGAGATATACATATGAATGGATGTCATAGCAGAAAAGTTATGTTTGAGCTCTTGGTTTACTTAGCTGAAAAAGGTTCGGTCAATTATTACCAGTAGCCTTTTATGATTGATTTTATTTTGCAGGCACTTTTCTATTTGCAGAACTTAGGTTAATGAGCTGCTTTATCTTTAGATTAGGGTATTTAAAGATCTATATTGTATTTATAGACAGGCCCTGATCTTTATAGAAATTTTAGATTGAGGAAGTTTCTATTTGAGGTAATTGATCCATCACGAAAGATGCAGAAACAACATTATCAACAATCATCTGAAAATTTAATGGGACAATTGCAAGATTTAATTAATTATTTATTTACTTCTATTTATTATGCCTAAGTTCTGCAAGTAGAAAAGTGCATCATATGGCTCAAGAAAAATAATTAGCTTTTGATAAGAGTACTACCGATCTTGTGCATCATTGTTCTGTAACTTCTGCTGTTAAAAGCTAATGGTATATTCTGTTTTGGAGAAAAAAAAAAGTTGTTTTTATAGCAGAATTGACGGGAAATAATCTATTAATCTGATCATCTGTTAGATATTGTGCCATGAGTGCATCAGCTTTGATGATATTCTTTACTGTCGACTTGATGAAGGCTGATACTTCGGATTTAAGACATTTCCTAAGGCCAGAATTTACATTATGTTACTTTTATAAATTTTAGTTAATTTTGTGAGCTGGTGGTACATATACGATAGTACATGTATGTAATATTCGATAGTTTTCATTTAGATTTGATATTTAGTTGTACTTTTTTGTAAGTTTGAAGAGTTCAATTAATTTATAATTGCCGGAGAAAATCCATGTTTTATAACACTGCTTGACCCATGCAAATCTTGAAAAGATAAATTTTGTTAGGGTACATTAAATTTAATCCTGTTATTTCAGTTTCTGGCTTCATTCGGAGGTGCAACGAAGTATTTTTCTGATGAAGTATTACAAACTGTAAGAATTTCTTTTTTTTAAGGAGTTTCTTAATTCCTAAACCAAGGAGGTTCCCCAAATGCTTGGGATTTGTTGGTTTGGGTTTTCACACGACTGGCGGAATTTTGGTCTTCTAGTGTTTTTTGGTGGAAAACGAAAAATGTATTATTTACTATTAATGGTACTTCAATTTCAATCATAAACAGAATGCTCATCATTTTTTGTAATTAATGTATGAAATTTCTTCTGTCAAGAGTTTTTTTGGTTTACAAGTTATATTGAGACCAATGTTATCTTTTGCCAGTCCATTTATTGTTTTTTGGTCATATAGAACATGCAATTATTTCATTCTCAGATAGTTCTTACAAATGTGCCTTTTTTATTTATTCATTTTTATGTCTTTTTATTTTTTATACATGATTATTTTTAAAACCAACAATAGTAGTATTAAATTCTTCCAATATGCAGCTTTATGAATGCCTTGGCTCAGCGCTTGCTGCGATGGGCCCTGAGAAATTCTTATGCTTATTGCCGCTCAATCTGGAAGCAGAAGATGTTACTGATGGGAAGGTGTGGGTACTTCCTATTTTAAAGCAATACACAGTTGGCGCTGAATTGCATTTTTTCTCTCATCACATTTTGAAAAAGATTAAATTTTTGAAGCAGAAATCACTGAAGGTATCTACTTTATGAAGATTTACATACATGCCACAAAATTTCTATGTATTTACATATTCAACACCTAAACTTCAATTTTGACATACATTATACCTTATCTATGTATGCCAATTTGTATTTCACTTTTGAAAAGTTATAAGGGTGGAATTTTTTTATGTGATATGAAAATTTTGGATGCTATAGATGTAGAAAATAAAGTTTAGATATTAGATATGTAAATACATTGGATATGGATGGTATATAAGTAAATTCCCCTTACTTTTAATGGATTGTTTGATTAGTTTCATTTCCCAAAGTAATGGTGTTATGTAATCCTACAGCTGGAGAGAGAGGGACGCATTTTCTCAGCTCGTAATATAAAAGGCCTTATATATTCATTATGGTCCCTGTTCCCTTCCTTTTGCAACTATCCAGTTGACACAAATACTAGTTTTAAAGAAATGGAAGATATATTGTGTAGCACACTTCGTCAGGAATCTGAATTTCATGGGATCATCTGTTCGGGTCTCCAGGTGCATTTTATTTGATAGTTGTTCTATTTCATTTAGAGTGGAGTGTCAAAATGGTCCCTGACTTTTTAAGTGGGGCCATTTTAGTCCAGAGTTTGTAAAAGTGCTAAAATTGTCCCCAAACTGTTTTAACGGGGGCTAAAATAGTCCTCACTAGGGACTATTTCAATTCATATTAAAAGAGCCTGGGAACTAAATTGACATTTTTATAAACTTTGGGGCTAAAATAGCTCACTGCAAAGAGTCAAGGGACCATTTTGACTTTTTTCTCATTTTATTTACGATTGATCTGTTTGATTATAGGCTTTTCTAAATGCCTTTAATATGTATTTTTGACATTTAGATTCTCATACAACAAAATAAAAGTGCATCCCAGGAGGGATTTTACATATCAGATGAGGAGCTAAGTTTTCCTGTAAGGAAAGCTCAGGAAATTTACACAGCAAAGTTTGCACAAGAGAATTTAAACACCTTGGGATCATCTTTTAAATTTTTGTCAGTTTTGTCAGATGTTTTCTTGGAAGCGCCAAATGATAATGGTGGATGCTTGCAGGTACTTGTGATAACTTGTTTACTTTGATAATTGTATCGAGGTTTGGAGGCTATTACTCTAGCAATTCTTTCTTTAATGTATCTTTGATTCTGTTGGCAGCATATATCGATTACTGATTTTATTCGACTTATAGCTTTATTAGATAGTGGAACTATAATTTTCTTTGGAATAAAGTGTCAAAGTAGTCCCTGGATTAGTTTCAAAGCTTATAAAAATGCCAAATTTGTCCACAAATTCTTTAAATCGACATTTTTATAGACTTTGGGACTAATGGGACTAAAATGACTCCCTGTAAAGAGTCAGGGGACTATTTTTTGACATTTTCTTTGTTTTTCTTTTCATTTTGTTTTCATTTGGTCTGTATTGTGGGAAGTCTTTACATCCAATGAATTTGAGCTTAAGATGTTAATTTCTAACTCAGCATAAGTTTGCTATGTTTTTTTGTTAAGTTCTCTTAATCAGGAATGGCTAAATGCCTAATTTTTTATGCATTAATCCCTCATTTTTCTTTTGAGAAATTTACAAATTTAGCACAAAATTCTTTTTTATTTACATATCTAAGTTGGTGCTATTTGATGTGATATTAGAAATTTGAGTACTAAATGTGTAAATATGAAAGTTTAGGTGTGAGATATGTAAATACATGATATTTGTGTGCTAGGTATGTAAATTTCCCTTTGCTTTTTGAAGTGAACTAAAGTTCTGAATCTTTATGGGTTCATTGCATGGCAGTCTACCATCCATTTGTTCGCCTCTATATCAGATAGATCAGCCTTAAAAAAAATTTTCAGAAAAAATATGATAGAGCTACTGAAAGTAACCAAACAAGTTATCAAATTGAAGGAGTCCAAGGAGTCATCTTCCATGCAAGTTGACAATTTACCTGATGAGGCTTCACTAACACGAGCGAGGTAGTTTGTAATATTTGACTTTTGGTCCTGAATGATGTTCAATATGACTTAGTTATGCACATTTTAATGCCTGGTTACAGGGCTCTTAGACTAGAATTAGCAGCTATGCTTGTCCCTGGTTTGGATGAAGAAGAGATTGATCTGCTATTCAGCGCAACTAAACCTGCACTCCAGGTTAATATTGATGTATTTTTTGTCATATTTTCTGTATTCCTGAAATAATTAATATCTAACTTTCTATTCAATTCCAGGATGAAGAAGGGCTTATGCAGAAAAAAGCATATAAAATTCTTTCACTTATTCTTAAGGTAGTGACTTGTTATGATTATGAAAAGTTTCAGTATCTTCACTAAAGATTTTTAGTAGAAAATTTGACAATTTTTGTATTCATTAGGAGTCTGAAGGATTTTTGTCAAATAAGTTGGATGAGTTACTTAAGTTGATCATCACGGCAACAGCATCTTGTCATTTTTCTGCAAAACGCCACCGGCTTGACTGCTTATTTTATGTAATTGTTCATATTTCCAAGGTTGGTGTTTGTTAAAGTTTCTGCTTGGACTTCATGGCTATTTGTCCGTTAGTTGTTTCTTCAAAGAACATATTTTGTCCTTTTCAGGAAACTTCATCAGAGCAAAGGATGCGGGAATTTATTAGTGCATTTTTAACAGAAATACTGCTTGCACTGAAAGAGGTAGTCCCTCAGAAATTTATGAGATTTGCCCCAATTAAATTTATAAACCAGATCATTTCCCATGCTTTGTAAAAGCCCTGCTTTAAATTCTTGTTGTAAAAGAGCAGCTGTGCTTTATATCTGAAATATTATCGGATTCAATTTATGTTTTCCTTGAAAGCTTTTAATATGAAATGGTATTAAATATTAATTTAGATGTCTATAAGTTTATCCGTCAAGACTTTTTTTTTTTTTTGCAGACAAATAAAAAAACTAGAAATAAAGCATATGACTTATTGGTTGAAATTGGACATGCATGCGGAGATGAAGAACGCGGTGGGAAAACAGAGTACCTGCACCAATTTTTTAGTATGGTAATACTAATTGTGCATCTTTCATATGTTGTTCTTGAGTCAAAATCTCCAGGACTAGTTTCAAGGATTTGCTTTTTTTTTTTTGCTTGTCTGGAGATGAGCATGCTAATTCATTTGCGCATCAAAATTCTGAAAAAAATAAATCTTTCTTGATGTATCTGAAGATGTATATAAATTTCTTGATTTTGATCACTCATGAAAGCCATCTCCTGTAGGACTCTCCTCAATTTGATGAGAGGGACAAAGAATAGTTTCACTTGAAGTATATTAGTTTTTTTTAATTAAAGTTCTTGTAATGTTGTGTTAGGGCTTATTTAGATTTGGGTGAGATTTTCTGTGGGCTCAATCCTATTTTATTAATTACCCATCGCACTTATAGGGAGCAATCTAGATTATGGAGATTTCTTTGGTTCATAAACTGAAAATTTAGGCTTGAATTTATTTAATAGAGGTAAATTTGATCAAGATTTCATGATTCATTTTTCTTGGGTGTACCACCTTACTTGGTCTACCATTTTTAGAGGGATTTGGGTTGTAATGCTTTGATAGCTTGATTAGCAACTGCGGGTTGACTCATAGATAGCTCAATCAGACTTTGTTGAAAATCTATGCATGTTACAGATATATTGTCTATATTGATGCATGCTCATTTAATGATTGAGGGGTCAGTTGGGTTATATCAATATTGATGAATAGTTCAAAGGAACAAAATATAGCCGCTTACATTCTAATGGCACTGGATATGAGTTACAAAAGCATAGAGGCTTAGCATGACTATCTGTTTTGGTATGGTTCATATACCATATAGGGACAGACGCTGTAACGAAGCGGAGCGAAGCGGAGAGAAAGAATCTGTCCAAACCGGGAAGTTACGTTATATGGGTTGGGGCTATACGGTACAGGGGTAATTTGGGAATTACATATTGTACTGTAGGGCTTATTCTAGAATTATAAATAGACCTGTTTGTAATCCTAGGTCTTTGAGAGAGTTGGATCCTCTATTCTGTAACATCTTTTCTGAATATTGAAAGTAATACGCCTCTCTGCTCCCGAGGATGTAGGCATCTTTGCCGAACCTCGTTAAATCTCTGTGTTCTTATGGATTTATGTTTATTTGTGTCGATTACTGTTTTTCTTCGCCCTAATTTTCTCAACAAGTGGTATCAGAGACAGGTTCGAGGGCAAGGAAGAAAATTTTCATCGGCGGCGCAAGAAGAAAAAGTTTCGGCGGGTAGGGCTTCGGGAGAAAAGGATTCGCAGGCTTCGGACAGTAGAAACGTCGGCGAAGGATTCAACGGTTCGTGGCTTTCTCTCTCGCGATCGGTTCTGCGAAGGCCACAATGTTGACTTCGCGAAAGTTGGAATCGCGACTGTCGCAGATCGAGAACCCTGTCTCCTTCGCCTGAATCGCTGGAGGCGAAGAGGAAAGAAGCGGAGGATTGCGGGTTCGAAGGCGTGCTCCGGGCGGAACAGCGAAGGAATAGTTTTCGGCGGAGGCAGGCCGAAGGATCGCAGGATCGCGAGGAAGCTGCGGAGGTTTCGGGCCTGGAATTGCGCGGAGGTTCTCCTGGTTTCGGAGAAGGAGGAATCAAAGAATCTTTGATTTCTAAGGAATATTCCCTTTCATTTTTGGCTCCATTAAAGTTTCATCCGGCGAGGAATCAAAGGAAGGTTAAGAGCATTTAAGGGAAACTTAATTAAACCCTCCGCTACAGTCTAAGAGTCTGCTGTTTTGAAAATTGGAAAGGGGAGGCTGCTGCTGAAGGAAAAGGAAGGCACAGGAAATTGGAGGAATTCGAAAATTGGCAGGGAAGACTTCCAAATTTGATTCCTTTGCTGGAAGGAAGTCGGAGGGAATTAAGGAATTTCTATTTGTTGCAGGAAGCCGGAATTTGAATTACAGGGAAGTTTTTTGAATTTTGCTTAATTAAAGAAAAGTTTTCAAATTAAGCAAATTTAATTAAGAATTTCTTCTGCTGAATAAGGAGAATAAATAAAGGAAATATTTATTTCTTTTCTTGGAGGCGGAGAGAAATTTTTTTTTTCTTTTGCTTGAATATTTCAATTTTTTTTCCTTTTTTTTCAAAAAAAAGGAGGTTTAAGCAAGGATTTTTGCAGAGGAATTTTTTGCAGAAAAGTTTTGTTGCAGGATCAATTTTCAGTTTTTTTTTTCTTGGAAACTTAATTAAGAGAAACTTAATTAAGAAATCTTAATTAAGGGATTATTTAAAAAGATTTGTGGCTGAACCAAAGTACAATTTCTGGCTCAACAAGGAATTTTGCGGAGAAAAAAATTTGGAAGTACTTTCTGAATTTCCTTGGCTGGAGAAAGGAAATCTTGGCTACGGCGCAGAAGAATATAAGATTTTGCGGATTGTTCGCAAGGCAGACGGGCTCGCGGGAACGAACAGGTGCGAAGCAGTTTGGATAAAGGGCTGCGGCAGTTCGACGAGTAATGCTGCTTGGGGGGGTTCGCGGTAGGGGCGGTGTCGCGACTTCGAAGCGCGACAATTCATGAAACTTCGCGGCATTAGACGAGGTGGAGTTAACGAACATGAGTTCTTGTGCAGTTACCGCATACTGCGAACAGGAGCGTTTGAGAACAGAGGAGTTTGGTGTTGTTCGACCAGCAGAGTTTGCAAGTTCGTCGTAGGAGTTGCGACAGGTGGGGTTCGGTAGGGTGCTGACAAGCGAGCATACACGATTATTCGCGAACAGTGATTTCGTGAATGTATTTCGCGAAGGGTTTCGCTCACGGGACAACAGTTTAGCCGAGGTGCTGGCGGGAATAGGAAAAGTGCTTCAACCTACATTTTTACATAAGAAACTTCATGATACATTTCTTCTAAGGGGCCGAATATTCGCAAGGTGGAGATTTTCTCCTAAGGGGCAGGATATTCACAAGGTGGAGATATTTCTCCTAAAGAGCTGGATATTCGCAAGGTGGAGATTTTCTCCTAAAGGCCGAGATATTCGCAAGGTGGAGATTTTTCTCCTAAGGGATTGAATATTCGCAAGGTGGAGATTTTCTCCTAAAGGGCTGAATATTCGCCAAGGTGGAGAATTGTTAGGTATGACTCATAATACCAGAATTTGAAGTCTCTTGGAATGAAGAGAAGTCTCTTGGAATTGAAGAGATGTGTCTCTTGGAATTTAGTGGGTTGAGATCAGCGAGGGCGCAGCAGAAGCATG